TTCAGCTTTCGTCCGCTGATGCTGTTGTTTTATCTAATGAATCTCATTCACGACAAATAAGAGATCTCCAGAATACCGTAGCTGAATTAGAGGCACAAGTGAAGCAGGTTGGTTTTCACGTTTTCGAGTTATTAACTTATATTTAGTTGCATCCATTTCTTCCATTTTTTGCATTTATCTTTATGTACGTTAATATTTTCTGTTCTACTATACAGAGGTGGCCAAAAAAAAGACACTTAGCCCATGGCGCACATCATCGAACTTTTCGTCGCACAGGGTGCCGATTTCAATGAAAGTTTTATGTTTTACGGCGGAATATTCCTTAGGTGTTCCTCCGTAAGCAGAAGCAAGCACTCCTTCACTGCCCCGCCGTCTTCAGAATATGACGTCATCTGCCGTCACCGTCGAGCTCAACGAGGCTTACCGTAATCGCTCCGACCTGAAGCTGCTACATAATTTCTTCAATGGATTAACTGTTGAATAGCTTCCCAGAGACATTAGCTGTGACTATGCAAAACCGCTTTTGACCAGCGTTTCAGAGACGTCGTAATGGTCTATGGTACCTCGACGACCTCGTTGAGCTCGTACCGTGCACCATGTTTCCGTGGGAAAATCTTCTGATGTCGTCGGTGTAGAAGGCTGTTGTGTAGCTTGTTGATAGATTATAACGTGCTCTTCAATATTCAGTTGGGATCATTTGGTTTGGTTTCGCAACGCGTAAATAATTCCGTTTTGAATGTGAAGTGTCTCTTTTTTTTTTGGCCACCCCTGTATACCCGAATATTCCAGTTTGCGGCGGCACATTTAAAATACAATATTAGTGGTTATATGGTATCTCGAATTTCAGGTTCAAAGCGAGCGCGCTGCAGTAGAGCTGACAGCCCAAAACTATAAAGCTCGGTGTTCTTCTTTACAAAGTGAACTAGATACGTCTGAAGCTGTTCAGAAAGACTTTGTACAGTTATCTCAAAGTTTGCAAATTCAACTTGAAAAAATCAGGCAGTCGGAACAGGTGAGTGTCCGGATCAAGCTGGGATTATGTTTTTGTGTAATCTTTGCTTTTTATTTAGGAGGTTCGGTGGCAATGGGAAGATGATGTGGAAAATTGCTCAGGTTGTGGGGCATCAGTTTTGAAAACCAAACCTAGACCAAGGTACCGTCTTGTAATTTTCTTGGTTAATGATTACCTAATACCTTTGAAAATATTTGATGTCCTTGTTATTGGAGATTCCTCTGCCTCTAGTTTTGGAAATGATATGGACGTTTGTACGAGTCACATTAGAGCCACTTAATTTACTGTAAGATAAAAAGTTATACTAAAGGGAATACAGCCAAGTTTAGCAAAAGAATCATATTTAAGCAAAACTGCAGAGTACAGTGATACTTCCAACGAAATACTGCCTTTTGATACCAGGTGGCTGGTCCCATAAAGTCTGACATACCCTTGTACATCGTCATCTTATTTCAAAACAAGTGCAGGCTTCCAGTGTGCTCACTTATGAACGTTTGTATACGGCAATTTTTTTGGTGGTGAAGCTTTTTGAAAACTAGTTTTTGATTCGTTGTCTCCTCCAAAAAGACAATTTTCAGGTGTTTGCACTGTTGTAAAATCTTCTGTTCAACGTGTGTTCAACATACGGTTCCCAGCGGGCCAAATCGAAGGCCCGCAAATGTTTGCCATGTTTGTCATACTCTGCTTAATAGGTGAGTCTTTTATACATATAGCTTTTTACGAGGGTGAAGGTAAAAGGATCGAGACGTGTTTGCTCACAAGCCTAGGCTTGAATCCTGGCCTCCTTCTAAGATCACTTGTTAGATGTTCGCCTCTTGCTATCTATCACTCGAATCCCACTATCACCACAAGAGCAATCGCATACTTTCATACATTCGCGCATTTGTGAAAGATTAACTCGCTTCTGTTTTCGCGCTTCTGACCCATCAGGCATGAATACTGCTGTTGATAAGGAATTGATTAAAGCAACAGTCCCAGCAGGGTTTTTACCTTCGACACTAATGGTGTGGAACGATGCGCTAGCCCTAGTCAAGAACATAAGAAGTGTGACTGAACAAAAAACACCTTGGAAAGCCGCTAGAAAGGGAGCTGAACAGCTTCGAAGTGGGCGTGGTTAACAATCGGCTGCAATCCCCTCAGCCGATTGTAACCACGCCCACTTCGAAGCTGTTCAGCTCCCTTTCTAGCGGCTTTCCAAGGTGAGTTTTTTGTTCAGTCACACTTTTTATGTTCTTGACTAGGGCTAGCGCATCGTTCCACACCATTAGTGTCGAAGGTAAAAACCCTGCTGGGACTGTTGCTTTAACGTATAACTTTGATCAGAATGAAAACTTATCGTGAAGTTAGCCAGATTCACATTGAAACTGCGCAAAGCTGCAGTCCTTGACACTGTAGACAGGTGCTGCCAACACCAAAACATTTCGGTCCATTTCAACAGAGAGTAATTTCAATTTATCAGTGTTCGAATAATTCCAATTTGCTCTTTGTAGAGACTCAAAGCCGTTTTTTGCCGTGGATCCTACGAATTGAGCTTCAGCCGCAACTATAAGTTATTTCTTGATAAATATTTACATTTCTGTGATGTTGATGCTATACAACAAACAATCCATCATATCGTCTGTACATATATCCAATGTATGAAGATGTATGGGCTCACGAATCGTCACCACAATATCATCTCCTTTCCTGTGCCCTTCTTGGATTACATCATTGACAACGATCTTGATATCACGTCGTGCTCTAGCTGTTATCCGGCATCCTTGACATTTGAGATCGAAGTTGAATAACCTTGAACTCGTAGAATTGGAGTCTGAGGGATAACGCATCGCACCTTTTCTATGCACCTACCGAGTACATCTGCCTTTAGGTAGCAGAAGGCCTCCATACTTAGTCGGTGTGGGTTGCACAGAGGTAGCAATAAAATGAGGTTGCATAGAGATTGAACCCAAACGGAATCTCTTAAAATAAGTATGTTTCGGAAATTGCAACGTTGTCCACAGTTTCAATGAAGAGAGGGCTTATATGAGTAACACACCAATCCTCCTTTGTCTTTGGTGAATCCTGCGCAAAAATTCGTAGACACGGGCAGCTCCAAGATAGGGCGAACAGGTGTGTATAAAGCAAGCTTGTTCCAGAACCTTGAAGACAAAACTCGCGATACACTGATTTCATTGTGAATGTGAAAGTTATTAGGGGGGCGGGGGGGACGCGTAACACGTTGTTAAAACCATAAAAAAAGAGCGCTCCCCTATCCCGCCGTTGATTTCAGATAGCCCAGAGTCAGCTGCATTTGTCCGCCGCTTCAGGGCCGTTGCAGCACACTTCTTTTGTAATCATTCTATCAGCAGTTATTTCACATATTATCGCGTACTTTTTAATAATATGTGGTCACACTGGCTAATTCCGGAAGACTTCGAGGAAAAACGGCTCGACATGAGAGCACCACTGAGAAAAATTGCGAGAACGGCAACGCCTGCATTTCGTTGGAGCACTTGTTCACCTTGGATTTGTCATATCAACGCCATTTTGAACCCTTAGTTCCTAAAGGATTAACATGTAAAGCTAGCAAACCTCAAGCCGTGCTCTATGGGATTTGCGTCAGGAAATCGCTCGCAAATCCATCCCGGAGCAAATAACGCCACTGACATGCGCATTAGATTAGTTTTAGCAAACGACCGGTGGCAATCCCAACCTCCTAAAATCAAATTCTAAATGTGGATCTAAATGTGAATGAAGAGGACGACATATTATAGACTCACCAACACAACCTCTCGCAAAGCAGTCGATTCCAACATAAATTTTATGAATGGCACCAAAGTCGGCGCTTCTCAACAGCATCCCGTCGTTCCAGTTATAATTTAAGTAAATACCATCACAACACTCATACCAATCCCTAAAAAAGGGGGAAAAGTGGAACTGAGGCCGAGAAATGAACTTTCAAAATGGATCATACCTATTGAGTTCATTCAACATATTCTGCCATTTCAGCATACCTGTCACAGTAACGGAATCATACCATATAACTCGTGAGAACCGAGTTGCTTCACGCATTTTGTCAGTCAGCAATCGCAGAAAAAGTTTTAGATTATCGATATGTTTAACCTGAATCATGAAATGAGTTTCTTCAGGAATACCATAAACCAACCTACTATTGCAATTTACCAGGATTCTGTTTTCGATGTTGATCAGCCATCCATCGAATTTGTAGTGCTCGGCAACAGAAACCAGACAATCCACCGTCTTCGCCACAGTCTCTACTGATTCAAGGAATTGGTCACATATCTTAGCACCTCCTTTCCATTCCGTTATGAAAGTACCCAATACCAAGCAGCCTAAATGTGTACTGATCATTCTACTACCCGCTATAGAACTTAGTTTCATCTTGGAACTCCATTTTCAAATTGGCCGAGTTATGTTGGAATTGCTGGTAGTACGATGGTGGAAGAAGTATCATTAGTGAAGTCTAGCACCATGCAAAGTCGTGAAAATTCACCCAATTATTTCGTGGGGGATGCACGCCTTCGACGAGTGCAAGATAGCTTTAATTCTTCATGACACTCATTCAATTGTGGACCACGAAGGGTGTGGTTCAGAGAGCTAAAAAAACCCCTATGTTCTTGATGGTAGATGGGCGTGTAAATGAAAATAGCCCTATTATTAGAAATTATTGTTTGTTGTAGCTGAACTTTAGTAATTCTGTCAAAAAAAGTAGAAGTCGAGGAAAGGAAGGACCAACCATGAGCGTGAGCAACGTTGATATAGCCTATTGGTGGAATAGTCACAAAATTGTGTGAAAAATAGCAAATATGTCGATGTTCCACCAATTCAGGAAAAACATAGGGACTTGGCTTTTCCGCTGAGATAATAATTCCGTCCTCACTGAAATGAATTCACAAGTTTTCCCAATTCTTTGCCCCCCCCCCCCTACTTCTATGTAGCAGAAGGAAATTTGGTTCGAAAACAGCACCGTAGAATATTGACCGTCAAAATATTCATACCTTATCTTCTTCCAAATAATCCCTCTCTTCCATATCGTGGCAAATTCATCTGTCTCCGGCTTGCCTTCAGCAGAGTTGTCCTGAAGTGAAGTGAATAACCCTTAGAAGTTATGAACATAACCGTTACGTATATGCACCACAGTGATTCAGAACTAGGCGGAATGTCACATAAAATTCCAAGCTTTGATGAAAATAGTAGCCCCTATGGGTGATTAGGTAAATGTTTCAAGTTCGAACGTCTCAGTAGATACCTGTAATTTGCAAGCTGTTTAACATCCACAGATTCCGCTGAGTTCCGACTCCAGTTCCATAATGCATCCAACCCACCAATGGGTTCTACCATTCCTGATGTGCGACCCGACTAGCTGAAAAAAGCACTATTTAACTATTAAACAAAGGCAGACGTCGGGAAAAACTCGCGCTCTAAATGGCCTTAAACCCTTATATAAATGACAGTCCATGATGCCATTAACTTACACATATAGAGGTTATCTGATGCCCTAATCACGAGGCAATCCTCATTTCCTAGTCATTTTGCGACCACAAAGGAGCCTTGTTTTCAATATTGCTCGCGCTAATTGAGTGTCACACACGTGCCAAGCTCAGCGAACTTCTCCAATTATGGTTTACAACAGAGGACAGTCGTGCGCCGTTGTCCATGGTTACTGAACTTCACTGTGCACATCAATTCAGTCCTTGGATCCGCATCGCGTCGACCGCAGCCTGTTATTTGAAACAATCTCGCGTGAACTGCGCTGGTCGAAATGGCGCTCGATGACTGGCGTTCTCTGCGATAAAAACATGCCAGAACGTCTCAAATCTAAGATCTATAGGACCGTCATCCGGCCGGTCGCGATTTACGGTGCTGAGTGCTGGCCTACGACTAAAGAGATCGAAGCACGGCTCAGTGTGATGGAGACCAAGATGCTGCGATGGACAGCCGGAATCACACGAGTAGACCACATTCGAACGACGATGTCATCAGAGAGCGATTCGGGGTGGCTCCAATTGTCGACAAGATGCGCGAAGCCCGTCTTCGATGGTATGGTCATGTCCTTCGCGCGAAAGATGACAGTGTCTGTAAGATCGGTCTCAACCTTGACGTGCCCGGAAAGCGCCTAGGGGGCGCCCGAAGCAGCGATGGCTCGACACGTTGCACGTAGACTTGAAGTCGGTTAATATCCACCCCGATCAAGCATTTAATCGGGAAAAGTGGCGTCAACATATAAGAAAAGCGGACCCCGCTTACAAGCGGGACAGACGCTAAAGAATAAGAAGAAGAAGAATGCCTTTCGCTAACGGCACCACTCACGAATATATGGGCCCCAGAACAACCAAGTAACAAATGTGTCTTTGAATTTTGAGGTTGCAAATGTGTCAATCAACTTCCACTAAAATGTAAAAAAAAAGACTCACCAATCCCCGAAGAATGAGCAAATCAAGCGGCTTCTCTGGCAGAACGCATTCACAGAATGCTGACCACTACCGTAAGGCTTCGTCCATTTTATTCCGATGGGGTGTGGTTCATTAGGACAGAAAGCGACTTTTCCGCGTTTCGCAGCGCGAAACATTCTCCGCTGCGGGAACCTCAGGTCCACCGCTGATCATCAGTGGACCCGAGGTTCCGCAGCGAACCATCAGTGGACCCGAGATTCCCGCAACGAACCAATGTTCGCGCGCTGCGAAACGCGAAAGAGTCGCTTTCGGCCGTGCGCAGCGTTTTGAAGAGTTCATGGGGTCTATTCCAGTTAGGGGGCATCATGGTGCGGTGACTCCCAAAAAGCTACGGTAACTCTGAGCCAGGGGGAGTGTAGCCAGCCTAGGGGGTGGGGGTGAGGGCAGTCACTTGACATGCGTGAGAAGCTGGAATGTTCGAGTTTACATTAGCTCGCCGAGAAACTGCATCATGATGCCCCCCCCCCCTAACTGGAATAGACCCCGTTCATGTAATCAGGAGTGAATATTGTGATGAACTAGTCATTGTTCATGAAATATTCAACGTGTGGTTATCACAGATTTGTATAAGCTGTCATGTACTCATGTCACATTCAGGAGAGAAGGATAAAACTTATCAAGCGATAATGAAATGCCTCAATATTTTTATTTACTAACGGTAACCTATTCTAGGACAACAGCTACAGTGTCGATCAACAGAGCGCGATTCGTAAGCAGTTTCGTAATGGATGAAAGTAGTCCTTTCGTAATCGCACTGCAGCATGATCCCTATTTCACCCAGGGATCATAAACATTCACGCAGCATTGAGCACCTCCGTGATATGTACCCTATCGTGATTTTCATGCTCTTGGACAATTCACGGACACTTGTCGAACATTTTAGGCAGGCAGGTGGAAACATTATGCGGAGTACGTTCAAAGATAGTGAACTCAAAAATAGAAGGGATAGGACCTGACCATGAACTGTTTCGGATACTCGCTCAAAACCGAGTAGTCGACACGCGTAGGTGATGCCCATTGCGAAATTGTGACGTATTAAGAATAGTCAAAGGACCTCCAGCATGCCCTGCTTAATCAACCACACCCCTTCCGCTGTAGCATCTGTTGTGATATACAGTCCATATACCCGGAGATAGGGTGGGTGGGGCCGAAGACGTGATTGCGGACTACACAACCTTGATAGTTGTCGCAGTGATCAGCTGATTGAATTTCTTGATTTCTACTAGTATTCCGATTTTCTGCTGTATTTTCTATTCTCTAGCACTATTCTACTTCGCTTTAGAGCAGGTAAGTTCGTTTTAGTGAAAAAGTAAGCTGTTTTGCATGAGATTTGCACGATTCTTTTTGCAAATTTCGATATTGTGGATGATCGATTGCTTTTTTCCAGATTTCATGGTCCCTATTCCATAGCGGCGCGTTAAATGACTCAACATGTACATGACTGCGCTCAACAATCTCCTCCTCTCGTGTTCAAATGGAAATCATAGATCATTTTTCAGCAGGACAGTTAGCCTATTTGGTGAAATTTTCCAATGTTTGAGCGAAGGTTTTTCCGAAATCTGAGGGGTAGCGGGGAAATTTCTTCACAGTTGTAGAGTACGCTTACTTGGGTGTAGGAAATCCCTCCGTGCTGCGGCCGTGAACATGCCTCCTCGTCATGCCCTAGCCTATTTGGTGAAATTTTCCAATGTTTGAGCGAAGGTTTTTCCGAAATCTGAGGAGGTAGCGGGAAAATTCTTCACTGTTGTAGAGTACGCTTACTTTGTGTAGAAATAAGATGACATACTTGCTTGTAGACGAGCGCTTCCGCCGTGCTGTGGCTGTGAAACATGCCTCCTCGTCATGCCCTTGTGAAAGATCAGATTTTTTGCATTTCCAGATGAACTCGCAGACCTGAAATGTGCCCCGTTAGATTCCCCGTGAAAAATGCTATCGAATGATATGCATTACTCCTCCCAGTTGAAACTTTGGTTTTTCACCGTTTTCAGCCTTCCCCTATTGCCGATTGGGCATCATTATTCCACTATTACTGCCCCAAAATCTCAAAGTTTCATTTTTCGTCGAAACTTTGCCTATTGGGGTAATTCGATGCCCTGATTACGAATATGACATTCATTCTCGTAGTGTGGCCCCAAACATCACACCTCGCCCCATTTTTTGCGACATGTTCCATGTTTAGAGCAGATGTTATGTAGAAAGCTGTGAAGGCAGCGACGAATTTCCTCTACTGTCGTGAGAGCTCACTTGACAGCCGATGGCCTTTCTCGGTAGCTGGCGGGCAGCCCGATCGATACACCGCTATGCGTGTCGAAAGTGCGTGGGAAAGTCATCACGCACCGCGCACGTGAATAGCACGTGGGTGGCCAGGGCTGAGGAAGGCGATCGGCGATAAGGAAAAGGCCGAAAACGGTGAAAAACGAAAGTTTCAAGTGGGAACTGAGATGTATATCGTTCGATAGCATTTTGCATGGAGAATCGAATGGTGTACACCACAGCTCCGTAGAGCCACCTGGAAGACCAAAAAATCTGGTTTTTATTTCAGGGCATGACGGAGAGCGATGTTTGAGGCCACACCAGGGAAGAAACACTCGCTCAAGCCCGAGTGTATCATCTTTTTCCAACATACAAGTAAACTTACTCTACGATAGGGAAGAGAGTTCGTCCCTCCCTTCGAATTTCCTCAAAACATCCCTTCGAAAATTGGGAAATGTCACAAAATGGATCTAGTGGCAGGTAAACTAGATGTTCTCCAGAAAGTGAGTTGTATACCGTTCGACAGTATTTTTTATGGGGAATTGAATGGTGCACATCTCAGTCTTCTATGTTCATCTGGAGAACCAAAAAAATCTGATCATATCGCAAGGGCATGACGAGGTGTGATGTTTGGGGTCACACTACGGAAGGAAGACTCACCTGCCACCAAGGTTTCTATGTAATTCCTACAGACAAGTGACCGTAGTCTACGACAGTAAAGGAAATTCGTCGCTGCCTTCACAGCTTTCTACATAACATCTGCTCTAAACATGGAACATGTCGCAAAAAATGGGGCGAGGTGTGATGTTTGGGGCCACACTACGAGAATGAATGTCATATTCGTAATCAGGGCATCGAATTACCCCAAGTAGGCAAAGTTTCGACGAAAAATGAAACTTTGAGATTTTGGGGCAGTAATAGTGGAATAATGATGCCCAATCGGCAATAGGGGAAGGCTGAAAACGGTGAAAAACCAAAGTTTCAACTGGGAGGAGTAATGCATATCATTCGATAGCATTTTTCACGGGGAATCCAACGGGGCACATCTCAGGTCTGCGAGTTCATCTGGAAATGCAAAAAATCTGATCTTTCACAAGGGCATGACGAGGAGGCATTTTCACAGCCACAGCACGGCGGAAGCGCTCGTCTACAAGCAAGTATGTCATCTTATTTCTACACACAAGTAAGCGTACTCTACAACTGTGAAAATTTCCCCGCTACCTCCTCAGATTTCGGAAAAACCTTCGCTCAAACATTGGAAAATTTCACCAAATAGGCTAACTGTCCTGCTGAAAAATGATCTATGATTTCCATTTGAACACGAGAGGAGGAGATGTTGAGCGCAGTCATGTACATTTTGAGTCATTTAACGCGCCGCTATGGAATAGGGACCATGAAATCTGAAAAAAGCAATCGATCCATTCACAATACAATGGACCATGTTGAATACGCGGCGCGTTCTGGAGCAACTACTGAGACCCATCTCTCTGAAGAAGATCATGATGCATAAGCGGGATTATATGCGCACCACATTCAAACAATTTTTTCTCGAGCCAAAGCTCGAGTGCATGGCGCAATCTGAAGTAGGGCTTTCCAAAAGTTTAAAAGCATATTCTTATAGAACTCGACGAGCTGAGTTCAATGCTTTTTTCAGATTTTGAAAATCTCAATTTTGAACCGAGTTATAACGAAAAAACGAAAAACGCCAAATTCGCGTTTTCTTCGCATTCTATTTAGTTATTACGAAAAAACGAAAAAAAACGCGAATTTCGCGTTTTTCGCGTGTTTTTTTCGATTTTTTACGGCGAGTACCGTAGTTTTCCACATGGTTAGACTCGCCACAGAGAGACGAGTCCAATGGTGTAGAGCACCAATCATTTGACCCGCTTTGGGGGGAGTTATGAAGGGGCGACGCTTTGCGACGCTGCAAATCCGTCGCTCAGCGGAGAAATTTCAAAAGTTAGTGGCGGTATTGTAGCAGTTGTGTTTTCCTATCAATTCACCATCAAATTATCGTAATCACTTCCTTCGAAGTAACGAGGTTAACCTCTTGTCTGATCCAGGATACAGAAGCAATGGGAAGGCTTTGAAATTCGTAATGCCTCTCTGAGATGACGATGAAATCCAATTAAAGCTTATCACATCAACAGTCATATTTTTTTCTCACCATAAAGAGCACATGGACCGTAGCAAATAATCTTTCTTTCCAAATTGTACTGCAAGTTGGCAGATTCCACATGGCAGTAATTATTAGAGCTAATAAATGCAATAACGTTGTCTTAAATTCTAAACACACATGAAATATTTAAAGCACCACGGATGAGTCACTCAGAAGGCAGTATTAGATGGTTAGTGATATGAGATGAGAAAGCAGCTAAAAGAACACTGTGGACAAACGATGTGAAAAAACGTAAGTGTTCAGTATGTCGAGTAATCGATAAATAGAATTGGATGTACGATCGATTATCGATTCTTCAGACAAACTTGGCAGCGCGACACGCGATCCTTCAAGCCGCCCGCTTTGAGCGTTTGTGACATCGGCTTGCGGAACTGCTTGTCCTGAAAGAAAGAAGAATCAATATTTCTCATCTTGCCCTGCAAAACGCTGAAAATCGGCGGTTGCGAAATTCGAATTTTTTACTCACACTGTCGACAATTGCAAGCCAGAAACCGTGGTTCGTGGCGTAGTGATTACATGTGCCTCGTCCGTGACATTCGATGAACGGCACCGCTCGGAATTGCTCCAAACAGGAACCAGGAGACTGTAGAGACTGCCCGGTTCCTTCAGCGCCAGCCGCCGTGTGCTGGAAGTATCACCGCTAAGCTATGGCAGTATGAAGGTACTGCCAGTGAAAGTGAAGGTGATCCCTCTTTCGCCGTCACTGAACTACCTAAAATCTCCAACATACCATGACAAATGAATAACCAGTCCATAATCCTCGCCATCCAGCGGGGCATGAGGGCACAACAACATCCTGGGAATGGACAGCAAGAAGCTGTGTGGGAACTTCACATACTGCGCAACGAGAGATGTACGGACGAATGGCCGTGCCGGATACCTGAAAAGCAAGAGTTTCGTGTTTGAAGGAATCTTCACGGAAAAATCATGATTCTATTTCAGCCATAAATCACTGGCTTGAGACTCATTATCCACGATAAGAATGAAAAGAACAGAAATATTGCTTTGTTTTGGTAAAAATTCGAAAAATCGAAAGGGCTGCTACGCGTTCAAAGTGCCCACGGACGTCTTTCACAAATGCTGGCGACGGGATGCTTCCACTTGGAGTGCCTTCACTAGAAACTCTTTCTGGCCTTCTGCT